CTATTTGCTTTCTATGTGGAATGGCATTTGTAAGAATATAGCGCTGCATTGGGCAAAGTGTTTTGTTGTAAAAATTTTGGTTTCGTAAACTCAACAATGTGCATATGCGGTACTGATCGGATTATACAAATAAGCGTACGTATTGAAGCCAGATGAAGAATCGCGCATTGATGATGATGCACACACTCGTTGATAGTGCTTTTAGTTTCACTTCTCTTTTATTAAATATGTTGTTTCTTGACTTCGCATTACTGGTAGAAGTGCTACGTAAGTTGAAGCATTATCCACTCGATAGTAGAGGTAGCGTTTATCCCAACATAAGATTCTTTTAGTTAAGGTAAAGTTTCGGTTACAGAACCATATTCTTTCAAACATTAAGTTCATTTCGACAGATCCGTGGTGCAGCGCAGGTTTTCGTTTAATTGTTATCGTAGTTATGTGAAATGAATCTTTTTTTATTGTTTTAATCATTTCCGGCGAATATCGTGCTTTTGATTTCTTTTTCAATAGGATTGTTGTTGTTGATTGTTTTTATAACTTCTATGAATTGAAGCTCCTCAGCCTGTTAGCCAAAGGTCTAAATAGGCCTTTTGTTTTTTTTTTCTACCAAGCGAGCCTCTTAATTTTGAGCTTTAAAATAATGCGGAATTTCCTATAGGTGTAAGTAGTCGCAAGAAAGAAAAGTGGCACTCTTCCTTTTATGAAACGGTCTATTCAATTCCAAACTCAAGCATACGTTTCGCGTTTCGTTGCTGGTTTATTACACATGATTCCTCAGGTTGGGAAAGGGAGGGAGGGGCTTACAAGAGGCGATTTGAGAGAAATGCCACTTGAACTTGTAATACCATAGGTTTTATAGCAGTGTAGGAGTTTGCTTCAGGCTGACCCGGTACGAAACGCGTTTGCTATGCGAGAACACGACAGACCTTGTTCAACTGTCCGTCGTCGACATAAATGGCCTTTTCGAGCGGGCAGACGTAGAGCGGACTGGACGAGTATCTGTACAACAGTTTCTTGCTCAGTATCGTCTTCAAAAGCGGCTCAGTGCTGAGGTCCGTTTCATTGATATTTTCTTATTTTCAAATTCTGAATGTATGTTCGTCCAAAAGTTTTTTCTTGTTTCAATTCAGGTTCATTTTATTGCTGATTCGTTCGTTTCTTCGCTCAATCTTTTTGAAGCTCTTGACTCGACAAATTCGGGGTAAGCATTATGACTGAATCAAGAATTTCAGACGCAGAACTACAACTGTAGCTGATCAGAATCACATTCGCTTTTCTTGTTTCATACTCG